GATTTTTTTATTTAATATTAAGATAAAATACAAAGTTAAAAAAATTCCAAAAATATATGACTCATACTGTATATATACATATACATGTTATATTGTAAACTATTTTTAAAAAATCTGTAAAATTAAAAAAAAATAATTTCTAAGAGAAATTGCAATGATATACACAATCTGTATACTGTAACCAATAAGATTAATACAAGAGATTTTTATAGGAAAAAAAAATCATACCTATTTAACAACATATAATGATAAATCCACCAATTTATATTTTGTAAATAAAAATCCGTTTACTTTTTTTAAATACAGTATATCTTCATATTTGTTCACAACCATTTATTTGATATAAAAATTAAATTGGTGTAAAACGATTTTTATTATGATCAATCGAATTTTTTATATTTTTTTAAATCAATCTATTGGTATTTCTTGCAACAATATGAATTTTATAATTACGAATTATACAGTAGTTCAATGAATCGATTCACATGACATGGTACAGTAGTTAGGTACAGTATTGCGCAATTAATTAAAATGGTAACCCGAAATTTTTTTCACACTCGAAATCCTTTTGGATGAAACAAAAACTCAACATTTTTTTTATTTGCAAAACTTACATAGATGTGCCTTTGATTTCCTAATGAATGACACATTTCTGGGACAAAGCAACTGAGAGAAGATGTGGTAAGGCAAAGGAAAGGCCAGAAATCCTTAAACTATTCACCCGAGACATGCACTTTCTAGAAAGAGATATGGAGGAAATTTCCTTTGATGGAATAAATTCAACGCGTTAAATGTCAATGAACGTCGGGATTAAAAAAGTTCTATAAGAATGCATAATTCACATGTGAGTCAATCATCAAGGAAACCTTGGTGTTTTGTTGCTGGAAATACTTTCATATATCATCAGGCGATTTTTCTTTTCATCTTAAAATATGCATGACCTCTAATCAGAAAACGATGTCCCAAATTTGTTCACCTTTTTATATGTACACATTTATAACTTAATTATTATATAAATATAAAAATATTAAGATTTACAAAAAAAACTTCAAATAATCCGCATTAAATATCGTTTGGGAGAAAGGTTAAGATCGAAATTACACATAAATTAGCGGACGAACTCGCCAAAGGTTAAAATCACAGCATAACATGTCTCTCATAATAGACACATTTCTGAGGAAGAAAGACAAGATTTCATGACGGTACAAAAAAGATTACAATAATAATATAAAAAAATAAAAATGCACCAGGAAATAGGAAAAAAACGTGCGATTCGTGAACAGAACGTTAATTGTCCGTTTTATGAATTAGAGCTGGAGCTACGGCTGCCACGTCCTCCACGCATTGGCGACCGCTGCCTCACAGAACGAGAAAGACGCGATTTTTGTGCTGGTTGGGCCGGAGGATACGGCCCAGGGTTATCTTCATCTGGAGCATAACCTTTTCGAATCGGATTCCGATCTGGTGATGGAGGTGGTGATGGAGAATCAGTCAATGGAATTGGTGGTAATTTTTGCATGTAGTACGGAGGAACTTCTTCATCGGTTGTCGAAGCACCCTCAACTATTAATTGAGGATGTTGAGGTTGTGGGTGATGGATCCCTTCATGAAGATGTTGTGAAGAAGCAGTTGGCGTGACATTGTCGCGATGTTGAATGTCTTGCGAAGATCTCGGACTTCTATCTCCTATAGGGGGTCCAGGGGAATCTGAAGGAGTTAATTGTGGGTAAATTTTTTGAGTTGAAGTTTTTATTGAATCGGCTCTATTCTCCGAACCTTCATAAGACGGTTTAAGTTCTTTTTGTCCCTTTTCCTTTGATTTTTCAGAGTTTTGGTCAGAACTTTCAGTTTCCGATCTTTTTGGTATTGGAGTTGAACTTCTCAAGGAAGAACTGCTACTTCCATGACTCTTAATTTTCGGTGATATTCCAGAAGGCGAGATCTTCCCTTTTCTACGTCTCACCATTTTTCTCCGAATGATGAAAAAGGAGAGCAAAATAAACACAAGGACAACTAACCCAACGGTCAACCCTATAGCAATTGCTGCCGTGCTATCCATGATTAGAAGATCTCAAACTTTTTGGTGAAGAGGATAGATTATATGTCTCCACTATTAAAATTTAGGAGAAGTAATAAGAACAAACTTGTATCTGAATAAAAAGTGAGGTAAAAGGCGCCTTAAAGTTGATTCTAATTGTGTGGTGACATAAGTGCTAGTCACCATATTGAAAGAAAATTTTCCAGAGGTTAAAAATGGTGGCGTCCCATTTTGTATTTCGTTGCATAAAAGATTATTGCATATACTCTAATTAAGATGACAAATATATCAAAACTCATCAATGAAGAAACATAAAATTACTATTTTTTAAAAATTTCACAGCACATGGGTAGTGGCTTTGCATTTAATACTATGAAATAAAAGTTATTCACTCTTCCGGGATAGTAAAGTAATGGAAATCTCATTCAAAGCAAATATATAAATCAATACTGGTAACAATGAAATATTTCCAACCTAAGGACATTACAATAGAAATTCCGCATTTGGTTAACCTTTACCACTAGCTTTGTGTTAACCATACGTTAAAATACTACGTAGATCCTGTGTCACGATGTTTACAGTAATGACAATACGATCGCGTTTCCTACACAAAGGAAAAAAAACTATTTATAAGGAAGAAGATTTCTTGGGGCTTTTGTAACGACCAATGAACTTATGCTTTACGAAAAAAAGTCATCTATCAATTCGCATTTACTTCTTTTCTCCATTTTGTCAAATGGTTAAATGTAGTTTTTTTTTTTATCTTCCACTTGGTATCTGAACTAACACATTATCGAATGTACAGTATAAATACGTATTCTCCGATAAATGCACCATAGTACGTATTTATGAAATACGGCCAATGATATATTGAGTTATCTACGTAACCTGAATTTAGTTTGAGGTAAACTTTAAAAATACAATAACACGCAGAGTGTTTGAGTTGATTTAGACACTTAAAATGTGAAGATAGATTACGCTATTCCACGTTTGTCCAGTAAACCCACAAATCTTATCCTATGCGAGATTAGCCATCAATTATACAAGATTAAAACAAGCTCCTATTATAACAAATGGAAGTTGAGCTACAAGAAAATAATTTATAAAATTTCTAGATAAGTCCACTTTCTAAATAACAACGGTTATATTTAGCACGTATTCCAAAAATACTGCATGTTCGCGATATATGGAACTTTCAAGAATCATAATGAGAAGAGGATAGCAATAATTTTAAATTCCAAATATATATGGTGTCGCATTGCAGCTCAGATTTTCGAGAATTGTGGCTTCGTATTTCCATTTTACAAATGGGAGAGACTCTTATCGAATTACAAGCGTGCATGCATGAATTTAGTGAAATTCTAAAGATGCATTTGTCGTTCATAGGGAAATGTGAAAGTCTAAACTCCAAACTCGAATGACCTAGTCTGATACTTGAATTTCATTTATCGACATGTCATTTATTATTATAAAGATTCGAATATTACTCAATTTGTGAAATTTGACTTCCAAAAATGTGTTTTATGAGATAAAGATGTTCTCAAAAATTCCTGTTGAAAAGTTGTATATCACATCTCCCTTGTGGCTGTGTACGGAAAATTTAAATTACAGGATAAAAGCCTGATGACAAGTGATCTCTCAAAACATGTACACAACAAGAAAAAAAAAAGAATACAATATTGCTTATTATTTCTTACGTAATAGATGATTTCATCAAACCACCTTTAGAATATTTGGCGTTCCTTAATGAAGAAATCACCATCTTATTGCACACAGCCTCACACCATACAGCCCTTTGGCCTTCAGAATAAGCAAAAATAATTCACGCACCGGTTTTTTTCCTTCTTTTGGAAGTCATCGTGATTTGTGTAATAGATACGTACTGTATTTCGTAGTGCATGAATCATATGTACATTACATGCGCAGCTGTGAATCAATCACAGAAGAAATCCGCGAGAATCACGAATACACGTAATTTCGAAAATTGTCAATTCACGAAAACGAACCCTTGTCCCTTCATCTTTCACCATGTTATTTATTATTCGTGTGTTTGATAATCGACATGGAATATATATACAACAAAATTATTTTATTTACGGTATAGGTGGCTGAATAGAGTATCGTCAAAAGTGGATGTAGATGCGATTGGAAACCAAAAGAAGCAAAGAAGTTATCATGACTTCACTCGAAGTCATTACCCGACGGTCCTTGACCTTGACTGAGATCGACACTTGAAGAAGATATGTGATGTGTTCCATGAATTTCATGCGGAGGAATATCCAGCTTTGATGGATCTATGTTCTTTGCAGCACCATGCTCGGTGACAATGATTTGCTCACGTTCACCTTTTCGCGACGTCTCGGTGCCCTCGGGTAACTCGATGATGGTGCTTTCTGGACCAACACCAGGATCTTCAGCACTAACCTCGCCTATACCACCCTTAATGATGTTGTCCTTAGGCCTGAGGTCAATAAGTGGATTTGTCAAAACTGTGGGGGGAAGGTCTCTATTGGTCTCATCACCGCCATCATCAGTTGAGGCCTTATCTTTCTTCTTCCGCATACATAAATAATAAAATAGTGCTGCTGAGACCGCTATACCAACAGCACCGACTACAATTCCGATGACTGCTTCTGATATCGGATTTTGACTTTCCTCCGCTAGCGATGTAGTGGTACTGTTGGTGGATTTTTCTATTTCTGCTGATTCTCCTTCATCAAAGGAATCGTCTTGCGCAGCTGTCAAAGTTAACGCGATTAGAAACGCGAATAAAATCACTTTTCCACAATAAAATATCATTATGTATTCGCCTCTTTGCGGTTCGAAAAAATAAAAAAAAAATAATAACTATAAAAGAATTATAGGAAACGGGCGCAGGCACACATTCTTCTTTATACATTTTTTTTTTTTTGTTTTGAATCTTCATATTTTCCTTTAAACGCGTGTGTTTTTTTTTGAAGGGCAGTGTTCGAATGAGGAAAGTAAAGAGACGTGGCTGGGCTGATTTGAAGAAAGTATATTCTTGAATTTATTATTACCCTTGACACCGTTATTTGTCCAAAGCCTCACTAATGTGTATTTCACCGACAATGTTTTCTAACGGTGTTCTTTCAATTCGTGAAATTTGGGTCAAGCCATGAAGGCCTACGAGGATAAACAAAAACATTGTTATTACATAATAAAAAAATTCTATATTTTTGTTATTTAGAGGCGCATTATCTATACACGCCACAAACATTCATTAGTGTTATATAATTTTGGCGGCTTAGATACGGAAACTTACAGCGTAAATTTTGAAATTTTCAACGAAATAATATTATTTTGGAACAAGGTCGTATTTTGTCTTTCTACTAAGGGTCAATACCCGAATCATCCTGAGGTGAAGGCCGGTAGGGATAGAAATGCTAGCGTATACATCAGATTGTCGGAGCAAGCGAGACTTCAATGAATTCACCATGTCGCGCAAAGAATTAACAAAAATGTCATCTGGCGAATAATTGTCGTTTACAGTGGCTGTGGACAATCCTAGATACAGTACTATAATAAGCTAAATTAACCATTATTTAAATTTTGGAAATTATAAGATCAAAAAATGTATAGCACGCAGTACAGTATACGTACATGAATTCAATATTTCGATGTTTTTAAAACAATTTTTGATATTTACGTACTGTATGTTGCGCTAAATATAAAACTCATATTTGCAGTATATAATAACATTTAATTGGTTTAGTGAATAGTAGAAAGAATTAAAAAAGAAGAAAAAAAGAACAAAAAAAAACAATTCCAAAAACTTGAAGATTAATTTTTAATATCACTTGTCTAATAATTTATTCCATATACCGTATACTAGTGTTTAATGTTTCAGCAATTTCAAATAAATTAATTCAGATAAATAAGATTTCTATTAAAAAATATATAAAAAAATAATAAGTTCAACAAAGAAAATATTTTTACAAATCTAAACTTTAATCAAAATTCAATTCAATTAATCAATTAATATTATTATTTATAAAACAAAAAAAAAAAAAAACATAATTTTTTTAATATATTTTAATTAAATGACTTTATTTTATTTTAATATATAAACAATTTTTTTAATACATATTCAAATTTTATTTCTAATTATAAAAAAAAATTGTTAATTTGAATTTTAGATTTTAATGTTTTTATATAAATACGTAATATTATTAGAAATTTTGTAGATATCTTGGAAACTATATAAACAAATATAAACAAAAATATATACATATAATACAATAAACTTTTTTATAAATTTTTTTTTGAAATATACTGTATATATTTATAAAAAATATATATTTATAAAAATAATTTTATTAAAAACACTTTAACCTAGAATTATTTCAATTTGACATTTGCTTAAAAGAAGAAAACCCAATTAGGAAAATCCAAAGTTGCAAATAATAATAAAGAGTTAATCTATCTTCTCTAAGATTCTAAGTAAAAAGTATTTGAAATACTTAAATGTTCTAATTATCTCTACAAAGTAGTATAACACTTTTTTTATAACAGATACAATTAAAATAGAATCTATATTAAGTTTAATAGTTTAAAACTAATAGTAGAAATTTTATTTTCTAAAGGTTTTAGCTAATGTATAAATCTACTTTTCTGAATAAAAAATTGATAAATTGAACAAATTTATAAATAAAAAAGTAGATTAACTGAAATAAATCTAAATATATACAATATATTGAATATAAATAATTCAATAATTAAACTTTATATATAGTACTTTTTATATGAAAAAAATAATTATAATTTTATTAAAAGTTCTATATAATTAAAATTAAACTTGATAATATATTTAAAAAAATAAAATAAAATAAGTATAGTTATAAAACATATATATATTTAAAAAAATTTCTTTATATATTATATACAATATATATAATAATTTTATATTAAATACTTGAAAAGATATGTAAAATATTATTTCTATAAATTATATTACAAGATTTATTGTTATAAATTAATTAATTGATTTAATTAAGTTTATATATAATATGATTTATAATTTCTTATAATTTTTTGTTTTGTAATTTACTTATAATTAAATTAAAACTTTATAAAACTTTATAAAATTTATTTAATTGTCTTTTAAAATTTAATAATAAAAATAATATAAATAATAATATTATAATAAATAATTAAATATAAAAATATTTATACATAAATATTTATCATATATAAAGAATTCAATAATTAAAGCAGATTATTTTTTTTCCCCAATAGGTAAACATCATTTCTTTATTTTGATTTGTACATAACAAGGTATGCATTGTTGAAAGAAACAATACCTCTTTCATTATTTTAGGAAAGTTAAATGCTAGCTTGTCTATTTATTAATATTTAACTAATATCATAAAAAAATTCAAAATTAATATTAATGTACTAGATAAGATTGAGTAGTGGTTATGCCTACCATTTTAGGAAATTTTGTGAATTCTTTTGATTTTTTAAATGTAAAAAATCAAAAAATAAAATAAAATTGACTATAATTAAAACTAAATCAAATATATTATATAATCCATATATTGAATAAAAAAACTCTTTGGTAAGCTTATGGTCCCAACCCTTCAGCTTTCCACATGCTATAAATAATAGAGTACATATGATATTGTTTATTGTTATAATTGTTGGTGATGAGTTATATATTGTTATTGTTGTGATTGTTGTGATACAAAACCAATTTGAGCTTGTTTGGTTTTTGTTTTGATTATTAGATGAAATTTGATTGGATGATTAAAGAGTGTTGATTATCTGGAGGGGGTAAACTGATTTTAGTTTTTTGAGTGAGAAATTTTTGGAGGATGAAAGTAATGCAGCAAATATTACTACAAGAATATTGTGTATAAGAGTTAACTTGAAACAAACAGTAGACTTACTAATCTGTTTGAGTGTGTATTTTGGAAAGTATTTGGTTTAATAAGTATGATAGTAATGATAGGGATGATTTTTATAATAGAATAAAGGTAAGGAGGAATACAAGAGAACTGAAGAAAAGAGAACTGTCACAAGTCTTTCCTCATGCAACTGAAGGATAAGCAAGACTCCCAAACTTGAATAAACTTTGACCAGAGGTCCCATCCTACTGCAACAGTTGTCTTGAAGATTCTTGAGTTTCTGGACTGGAGCTCACTTGTGATAAAGAGAGTAAAACATTTTTTCTTGCTTAAAATTATTATAAAAGAAAAATTTTTAACAAAACAGACATGATCAAGAGAGAGTTTTTTAATTAAAGCAGATTATTAATACTACTATTGTATAATTATTTTATAAAAAAATAATTTATTTTTAATTTAAACATTATCACTAAAGTAATAAATTTAAGAAAATATCTAAAAATTATTATTATTTTGTTACAGAATTATATTATATAACTAAAATAATATATGAAATACAATAAAAAGTCTTTTTATATTTAAAATTTAATAAAATAAAGTTTTGAAATATTTTTTATATCTATATTTAGGATATCTTTTATATTTTCAATAAACTTTAAATACTTTAAAAATAATAAAACATTGTTTTATTCAATTTTTTAAATTTAATAAATAAATAAATAAAAAGTATAAAGTATACTTATTTATAATTAAAATAAAAAATATCAAAAAATATTATTAGAAATTAATGAATAACATAAAAATATCCAAATAATTATAAAAAAATATTAATTAATAAATATTAAAATTAAAATATAATTTATAATAATAATAATTTAATAATATTAAAATAATAAAAATATTATAATTATATATATTAATTTATCTATTATTTTTATACTTTTTATTCTATATATAATAAATATTTTCCATCTATAGTATTTATTAAAAACAAATATTAATATTACTATATTAAAAAAACTATATCAAAAAAAATTTTTTTTAATTTAAATAAAATATATAAAATACTTTGAAATTTCTTAAAAATTAAAAAAATATCAATTGCATAAATTTTTTTATAATATTAATATATGAATTTTATAAAAAATAATATCAATCGACCCCACAGGGGTCGTTATAGTAATAAAGCGCGATTCTGTGTAACTATAAAATCTGACGAGTTAAAGTCCGA